CAGTCTGGATCCGATGGGATCAGTCTGGATCCGATGGGATCAGTCTGGATCCGATGGGATCAGTCTGGATCCGATGGGATCAGTCTGGATCTGATAGGATCAGTCTGGATCTGATGGGATCCGTCCGGATCTGATGGGATCAGTCTGGATCCGATGGGATCAATCTGGATCCGATGGGATCAGTCCGGATCTGATGGGATCAGTCTGGATCTGATGGGATCAGTCTGGATCTGATGGGATTCGTCTGAATCTGATGGGATCAGTCTGGATCCGATGGGATCAGTCCGGATCCGATGGGATCAGTCTGGATCTGACTGGATCAGACCCTGAAACATAATCAGTTTTTTCACCTGTTCCATCTGTGATGTTTCTTCCCAGCTACGACCTTCGATCCTTCTATGTGAACTACTGGACGCAGACTTACAGCCAGCTGCCGGCTGCAGGGAGGATCGAGGAAAAGGAGAGCCTCTGATGGACTTCATCTTCATCCCTGCTGATAAACTGATCTTTTGAATAATAAACGGATGTTAAAGCTTCTGTCTTTGCTGTTTGTGTCTGAGTCTGAGATCATGTTCTGCTTGGAGACGTATTTCAGCAAACTAAGTGATCTCTTAGAAACACCACTGTTCTGAAGAACTTCATCCTGCTCCTCATGCATGCTGGAGAACCCATCTTTGGGATGCGTTAGAGCAGAGGCACCACTTCTGTCTTCATTCGCTACCATGGGTCAGGGTTCATCAACAAACTGGACACTATATATCTATAGATCAGGAACAGGATAGAGTGAGATAGGGTAGATGCAGCAGTGGGCTTTGACTGATGGTCTGAGATGTTCCTCTGAGCTCTGATCTGCCTCTGGTCACACCAGTTCTTTATGCCACCAAGGTGCTGCTGGGTCAGCTGTCAGTGTCCTATGAAGCTCAGCTGCCGCCCGTAGAGCAGAGGACCCGGGGTCAGACCTTCTGCTAATCTGCTGTGGTTTGTATCTCATGGTCTCCTTTGACAGTCTCCAGGACATCATAGAGGATGTAAACTCTGCCCGGTCTACGTTCTCCAGATGCTTCCTCTGTCTGTAGCTCAGGCCGCTCCAGTTAACTGGTCCTGTCCTTTCAAAGCTACAGGTTTGTAATCAGATGACAGACAGGAGGCGCTGCAGCTCCCTCACTGGGAGAGTTGATGATTAATTCAAGGTCAGAGAAACTTAAATGTCAACAAGGAAAGAAGGCATAAAGTTAATCAGCCTGTTATTGTCCACCATGTGGATCCCAGCAGCAGGTAGGAGGAGTTTCACCTTCAGTGATCAGAACATCCGTTCCAGTTTCTGTTTCATTTCTCATTGTTTTCCTCTTATTTATCTTATTGTGCATTTTATCCATGATTGTATTGATTTTTTTAAAGTCCTGCAGCAGATCTAAGGTTAGATTCTCAGAAAAAGGAACTTTAACCCGTTTAACTCCTCCTCAGTTGCAGCGTCACAGCTAAGGGTCCACCTGACAAACCACAGCGCCTTGACTTCCTGTTAAACTGACAGCAGCAGTGGCTTGTTCTCTGTTTTAAATTTACTCATTAAACCCCAAAGTGTTCGTCAGATTTAGACTGGTTACAGGCTTACAGCTCATTTTGTGAAAGAAAATAAATAAGTTAATTTCAGTTTTTGCACAGGCAGCTACTGGAGCTGCACTTCTGCTTTGCATGACCACAAGGGGGCGCTTTGCATCATGCAGTTAAAGTTGCTGCATTTTCAGGATGAACAGCTAATAAAGAATAATCTAAGTTCTGCTTAGAAACAGCCTAATCTGAGGGTTTTGCTGAAAAAGCGTTGAGATAAAAACAGCAGGAGGAAGAAGAAGACGGAAGGAGGAGGTCTAGGCGACCAGTTGGTTCTGCATTAGACGTTGCATCAGAGTGACAGCAGGAAACCACCAACATATGACACCCTCAGTGTCTGTTCCCTTCACTGTGACACCACCAAGCAGAGGGAGCAGAGGCAACCATAGAAGGAGCGGAGGAGAACCAGAACCCTTCAGATCTGGAACCAACAGTGACCTCACACCACTAGGAAAGAGACGGAGGAGAACCAGAGGAGGATTTGGAGGAGGAGAAAAGCACAAGCTTGAGATTGAAGAAGTAGAAGGAGGACGGAACACAGTGGAGGAAGAAGAGACGTCTACCAGGAGGAGGACGCTAATGATACCAGCACCTCCGAGCAGAAGAGCAGGCAGTGAAGGAGCCGAGAAGGAGCTGAAAGAAGCCAGAAGGCAAGGAGACATCAGGAGGGTGGAACAGAGGACGGAGAGGAGAGGGGACGCTGTGGAGACGTGATGGAGGAAGACATCAGAAAGCAGGGCATGCTCTTCCTCCAGCAGCAGCGCTTTGGGAAGGTAAAATCTGAGCAGAACCAACGTTTTCTGGTGGAAAATGTTGGTTCTGATTGTGTGTGTCTGCAGAAGTGGAAGCGGATATGGTGCGTCCTGTACCGGGAAAGCTCCTGCTCCATCTCCAGGATGGAGTTCTTCGAGTGTAAAGATGGAGGCCACTTGGAGAAGAACGATAAAACTCTGCGCAAGCAGCAGGAGAACAAGAAGGTAAGACCCCCTAACCAACCTTCTCCACCTCAGCATTGTGCTGGTGAAGATTCTCTGTCATCAAGGTCATAGTCGTTCCAAAAAAACCAAGCGTCAAAAGCCAAATGACCCCCATTCCAAAGGGGTGGGCCCGTTTGTCCTTTTCAATTTGCTTGTTTTCGTAACAAAAACAAGGCTTTGTTGGGCTGCTGTATAAAACCTGGAACTCTACGCTATCCACTGGAAGTCCACTGGATTGTTTTTTAACTTTTTTGGAACACCTTAGCTTTGTTTCCGTGGCGATAACTCCCTCTGTCCCCCAGGTGATCCGTCTGGCAGACTGCATCCGGGTGACGGAGGTAGACATGGACGGATGTCCCAGAGACACAGGCTCCTTCCTGGTTGAGACCACGGAGAAGATCTTTGTGTTCGCTGCAGACAGACACCAGCTGGAGGACTGGACTCACAAACTGTGTGAGATCGCCTTCCCTGTAGGTACCACCCAGATTCTCCACAACCTCTTTAAACAAGCAATGAAGGCAGGCAAAGAGGTTCTGAGCTCCAGATTGATGGTGCTGGTTCTGTTCAGAAGGTTGTTTAGGTTCTCCCTGCTGAGATGAACCTCAGCTGAACATCAATGTATGGGTCGGGTCATTGGTTAGAGCCAGATCATGGTTCTTCATGGATTCCAGCTGCAACCGGCTGGTTCCAACAGAGGAACCCTGCTTGTTGAGGTCTTTCCTCCAAAAACTCCAGTAACTGTTCTGGATCTGACTTCTCTGATGTCAGGTTGCCATGGTGGAGATGGACCGCAGCCACCTCTTAACCTCCATCCTATCTCTGTCAGGATGTTCCAGGTGGTTCTCCTGCTGGAAGGTGAACCGCCACCTCAGGCTCAGGTCTCCTGTAGCCTCTAACAGGTTTTCCTGGTCCTGGCTTCAGCTCTGTTAATCTTCAATGAACCCTCTCTGGAGGTTCACTTTGGGTACTCCAGCTTCCTCCCACAGTCCAACTGTGGGAGGAAGTGACTCTGATGTCCCCTTGGGTGTGTCCATCTGTGATTGACTGATGACCTGTCCAGGCCAGACCTCCCTTTTCCCTATAGACTGCTGGAGACAGGCAGACCAATGTCCATGACAGACAAGGAGATGGGTGGATGCTCCTTTAACAGCGATGTCTATGGTTGAGGCATGGTTTCCGCATGGGAAGAGCGACAATAGCCTTGAATAAATGCATGTACTAGTTCCTCAGCATCACCCCTGGGCACAATGTTTCTGATCAAAAATAACGGCAAGATTTTAACTTTATTATCAGAGATCAGTTTAATTCCATCCAAATGAAGTGACTGACTAATCAGCTTCTATTTCAGAGACTCTGGTTTAAAGACAGAAAGTTCTTCACCAAACTCTGCTTGGTCATTTATAGCATTGATCTATTCTGCTAAAGTAAACAATCAGCCTGTTTCTAATCTTTCTTAGTGGCTAAAATAATTTCCTGCTGATCTGCTGTCTCACCGTTTCATGTTGATCCGTGGTTCCTCTGCAGTCTTTCAAAACGTGTCTGAAGGACCGTTTCTATGAATTATTACCCAACAAAAGGGTTGAATTTCACTCTGGTCAAAGTCTGGCTCTTAGTTTCAGTTTGGGAAAGACGATGAATAAGATAACAGGTCGGTCCAGGGTCAGTCCACTGCGCCAGTCCACCGGGTCAGTCCGGTTCACCGGGTCAGTCCAGCAGGTCAGTTCAGCGGGTCAGTCCAGTACACCAGGTCATATTTCTTCACCCCACAGCCCAAAGGAAGCTGCCTTTAGTCTTGGCTGCACTGTAAAAAAATGAAAAGTTTGCAGAACTCATCATTTTAAGGCAACACATTTCTGCAAAAGTATGAGTTCAAGACTTAAATTTAATCAAGTCAAGTTTTGAGTTCTTCAAACCTGGAACTCGACGTTACTGTAACTTGCAATCCGGTTAAAGTGGTGGTGACTTTAAAACTAATTATAAATCTTCTGCCTATTGAAAACTCATACTCTCTATGTCCCATGGTGGCTATATTTGTAACCTAAATTATTAGTACCAGAGACGGTTTCAAACTGTTGACCTTGGTGGTGAGCTAATGCCCTGCGCTCTAACCACTAGACCACCCTCTAGCTGTTACAAACCCTGACTACTGGGTTTATAAATGTACAACTAGGAGCTGAAGTAACTTTAAAATGAAAACACAAATAAAGAAGCTTCATATTATTGTGCTCCATAATATTAGTTTGACAGTCTTTTTTAGGAGCTGTTTTTATTTTTAAAACTTAACATCAAATAATTCTCAGGCTCTTAACTCAAAACCCAACTCTTGACGCACTGAAAACTCCCTCCATAATGTTAAAGATTACAACTACCTTTGTTTTCTGAACTGACTTCAGTTATTGTCCCTATATGTAACTCAGATCATGATCCTATATGAGTCCGGAACCAGGACCTGAGTGTATGACCGGATCAGCGGTTCCATGTTTGCTCCTATAAATAGCAGGATACTGACAGACAGCTGATCTTCTTGACTCACATCTTGGTTTCCTCTTTAAAAGAAAACAACAGGAAGCCCAACAGCCAATCAGAGAAGCTCTTTGAATAGTAAAAACTAATAGAACCCAACCAGGATCTGCACAGGCCAGGATTTAGGCTCAGTCTAAACTAAATGACACTTTAATTTAGAATGGAAAGATGGAAACTCTGGACCCAGCTAAAAATGTCAGACATTAATTTTTACTAATTTTAATATTCCTAAAAACTAGACAAACAACAAAGACGTTGAAGGAAATTTTCTACAATTTGTTATAGAAAGACTGAAAAACTTTGGGTTTCAAAAAAACTGTGTTTAGGAAACAAAACCAGAAGACAGTTGGGTCATATTTACAGGAAGAGGCTTTAAGGCCTCTTCCTGTAAATATGACCCAACTCTAAATATGACCCAAAAAGGGAAAGCAAACAGAAAATGAAAAAAAACAACATTTGAACCTCATTACAGTACCAAGAGAGCAGGAGTTAGGATGATAGAACCAACTAAAATGTTTCTGATGCTGGTTTTCAAACCCACATCTCCACACTACCTACAGTACCTGTTCTGGTGTTCGGTTCGGATAACCCAAACTCTTTAGAACCAGTACTGGTGTTTGGTTTTCACAATCTGACCTCCAGCCTTGGTTGATGAGGAGATCTGGGCACAGCAGCTTCTGTTCAGATGGGAGAGTCTAAGTTAGATCAGTTTAAACTTATCCAAGTGTCAGGCTCAGAACAAAAGGACCAATTTTTCAAGACCCAGCGGGTACCACCCAGCGAGTCCCAGACGCTGAAGTCCCGGAGGTCGGAGCACAGGCAGGAAATCAGGACCCAGCAGACGAAGGATGGCAGAACTATCCAGAAGGTGAAGCCAAAGCCGGTGTAGAGGACATGCTCATGAGTCAGAGCCAGGAGATCAGAGATACGAAGAGGTACCAAAGGGAAATCCAGGATGATGTCAGGAATTGGTACCTGGTTCAGTACTTAGGCAGAATCCAGCAGGAGTCTGAAGACAGGTCAGGCAAACAGATCAGAACGTGAACAGGCAGACTCAGTGGTCCAGAGGCTTTGTTCAGGATCAGGCCATCAAAAAACACAAAAGGTATTCGAGAGAACTCTCACCAAAGGCTCCAACAATCTGGCACTGATGACTGGTCTGAAGGCTGCTTAAATAGAAACTGGAGGAGGTGGATCAGATAAACTGCAATGAGAAGTGGGTGGAGCTAGGCAGGTGAATGAAATGAATAATCTGACCTGTCATTAGCGCCAAGATAATGACACCGAGCTTCTAATGAATGAGTGAATAGAAAAAACGTACATTTATTCATGTTTGTTCTGATGAGTTTAACAACGTTACCGTGTTGTGTTATCCAAGTGACTCTCTGATGTTTGTTGATGAACGTATTGCTGTCATGAAATTTGTCTGGTTTATGTTTGAGCAGATGAGCTGGACAGATGGCGGAGCGAAGCGGGGAACCCTACAGAGAGGAAACAGGGTGGATGAAGATGAAGGGATGGAGGACAACTCGCTTTACAGCGGCCGGGAAATAGGTATGGATGGATGGATGGATGGAGGATAGATGGATGGATGGATGGATGGATGGAGGATAGATGGATGGATGGATG